TACAGAAGGCGGCTATTATTCCCCACAAACTTTGCTTTTGTGACCAGGACTTTACGTGAAGGAAAGTCGCAAATGCACGCCACGTTTTCTCATTCTACATATCACTCTCCTGCTCACAAAGGTTCGTGGGGAGTAATAGCCATTTTCTGTACTTTTGAGGCATAAGCAATGAGGAAATAACACTTACTACCCAGGAAGAAAAAGAAAAATTGTTATACAGTTATCAATTAGTTCCACGCGCTCGCACGGCAGAGGCACGGAGGAGGCCCCCTCCGGAGGACCGGTCGAGTGCGTGGGGTAGCCGCTGGTCACGGCTGCTGTCATTGACACCGCCATCGTCGCCACTGCCACCGCTGCCACCATCATCACCGCCACCTCCACCGCAACCACTACCCACATTCCGGTATACCTGGCGAGGTAGTTAACATCTCATCAGGGTCGTGATTGAACCCACGACCTCCTGTATACCAGGCGAGGTAGTTAACATGTTATCAGGGTCGTGATTGAACCCACGACCTCCTGTATACCAGGCGAGGTAGTTAACATCTCATCAGGGTCGGGCTTAAACCCACGATTTTCCTGTATATCAGGCGAGGTAGTTAACATCTCACCAGGGTCGGGATTGAACCCACGATCCTCCTGTTTACCTGGCGAGTTAGTGAACATCTCCTAGCCACCTTGGTGTACAATGTGCTGTGACCATGTGCATAGCACGTGTACGGAAGATGTGATCCGTGACACGCGTAAATAACACGCGGGTGTTAGGTACATAGCACGGATGGACTCTCTCTCACTCAAAAATAGAGAGACAAAGACCCCCCGTATAGCCTTCAAGAGACTTCGGGCAAGTTCAGACCAAAGACAAAGGCCCACTCGTAAAGCCTTCAAACGACTGTTGGGGCAAGTGCGCACCGTATAGCCTTTAAGAGACTGTTGGGGCAAGTGCTGACCAAAGACAAAGGCCCCCCGTATAGCCTTCAAGAGACTGCAGGGGAGAGTGCTGCTAGCCGACTGTTGGGGCCAGTGCTGTTAGCGAGCAGCACCTATGAAGGCCGGAACGGTACATGAGGGGGTGGGTGGCCAGCACCACGCACGGCCGCCTTTGTCTCCCAAGTGGCGATGCTTACACACCGCACCAGGTACTCATTTGAGGCTGAGTCGACCTAGGGGAGGCCCACAACCGGTTCAGATAATCGTCTCTGGTTTTGGCCGTGAGCGGGAATCGAACCCAGTTCACCGGGTTCGCACACCCACAGAGACAAAGATCCCCCGTATAGTCTGTGCAGACTGTTGGTGCACGTGCTGTTAGCGAGGACCTGGTATTGGCCATGAGCGGGAATCGAACGCGGGTCGTCAGTTTCATAGCGCAGCGTAGCACTAACCACTAGACTGCAGCTCCCCATACATACACAGACAGAGACAAAGATCCCCCATATAGCCTTAACAGACTGTAGGGGCAAGTGCTGTTAGCGAGCACCTATGAAGGCCGGAACGGTACACGAGGGGGTGGGTGGCCAGCACCACGCACGGCCGCCTTTGTCTCCCAAGTGGCGATGCTTACACACCGCACCAGGTACTCATTTGAGGCTGAGTCGACCTAGGGGAGGCCCACAACCAGTTCAGATAATCGTAACTGGTGTTGGCTGTGAGCGGGAATCGAACCCGGGTAACCAGGTTCATAGCGCAGCGCGCTAACCGCTACACTACCGCTGCCTACACACAAACAAAGACAAAGATCCCCCATATAGCCTGTAACAGACTGTAGGGGCAAGTGCTGTTAGCGAGCAGCACCTATGAAGGCCAGAACGGTACACGAGGGGGTGGGTGGCCAGCACCACGCCCGACCGCCTTTGTCTCCCTAGTGCCGATGTTTACACACCGCACCAGGTACTCATTTGAGGCTGAGTCGTCTCGTGTTCCATACGTTTTATCAACCAAATTCAAGTACCGTCGGCGGGCCTGATGGACTGACGTCGCGGGCCGGATGCGGCCCGCGGGCCGTAGTTTGGTGACCCCTGCTCTAGCCAATCCCCTTTCAGGCCCCGTTAAGTAACCAATCAGAGAAGGGGCCTTTGTTCTTTTTTTTTGTTTTACTTCCTGACTATCCGTGCCACGTGGTGTCCAGCACGTGATGTGAGTACCGTCGCTTGTGATTCAATCACTGCGCCAGGCGCAAGGCCCCCCCTCCCCACCCCACCCCGAACTGAGCTGCTATGTCGTGGCTCTCTTTTGTTCAAAAACGACCCTGGTGCAATTCGTGCATACAATGCAACGCGGAGTGGTGCTTAGCAGGACACACTAAAAAGCGACTGACACGATTTCAATGACAGTAAGATTGGGAATAGGTGTTCCACCGGTTTTTTTTTATCTGGCGACAAAACAACCAGCTGCGTTAAGATGTTAAAACACCAAACTGAAACCTTTTTTTTTTACAAGGAATCATGTGAGTGTATTAACCGCAATACCTGCGGTCAGAATGGAAATTTAAAATAAAAAAACACGCTCTGATAATGTATTGGCATTGTCTTTGAAGCTGATTGGTTCCACACCAGAGGACACCTTTTGGCGTCCTCTGGTCTAACATCGTTTTGAGACGAGGCTCTAAAAAAAAAGCCGTCTCTGGTGTGGACCAATCAGTTTCAAAGACAATGCATCATATTACCAGAGTGTGTTTTTTTTTGTTTGCATTCTGACCACAAGTGTCTGTGGTTAATGCAGTGACATGACTCCTTTTTAAAGGTTTCGGTTTGGTGTTTCAACATCTTAACACCTTTAAATTGTTTTATATATTTTTATTGTCTTATTGTTTCCCTTCCACGTGACTTTACCGAAAGAACCAAGAATATCTTGACACCTGTTTTGTTGCCAGAAACAAAAGGGGAAAACCTATCCTCATATTGTGGTCCTGGCAAAGGAGGTCCCATGATGAGACAGTAAGATTAATATTGTTAGAAAAATACAAAACATAACGAACTAAAAAAATATATATCCTTAGCTCTTTCTAGTACTAGTCCTTCTAAATAAACTGCCAAATCGCTGCGCGTGGCGCTGACGTTTTTTTTTTATAAATAAATAAATACACCGTTTACAAATAAATAAATGTATGCAAATCGACACACCTGATGACGACTGTTTGTGTTATGGTCGAAACGTCGTGAGAATGTTTATTGTTTTATATATATTTTATTATTTTATTGTTTCCCTTCAACGTGACTTTACCCAAAGAGCTAAGAATATGAATTACTGCAGTCACGAAAGCTTTAAATAAATAAAAAGTATAATAAAAAGCGTAGTGAGCACACAATCAGGGCATCCTAATTAGAACACAATCTAGAGAGGGCTACGTTTTAAGATGTCGTTTTTTAAACATTCACCGACTCTAATTCACTCTGATCCTCCGGCGTGCCGTTCCAAAGAGGAGCAGCGTAGATAGCTGAAGGCTGCCCTCCCCATACCTTGTGGCCCCTGGCCCTGGGCACCACCAAGAGACCAGTTGCCGGAGGACCTGAGGGATCTACTGGGTTCCTAACTTTAAAAAAAAAACGTGTCACTTATCGATTCAAAGCTTGCGTGACTGCAAGGATTCATCTTCTTTGGTTCTTTCGGTAAGGTCACCACCACGTGGAACGAGAATAAAATAATAATAAAATAACACAATGAAATTCTCACGACGTTTCGGCCACAACGCAAGCGGCCGTCTTCAGGTGAAAGGTACAGACCTGTCGGGACGACAGAGCTCTGTCGTACCTTTCACCTGAAGACGGCCGCTTGCGTTGTGGCCGAAACGTCGTGAGAATTTCATTGTGTTATTTTATTATTTTATTCCCATTCTACGTGGTGGTGACCTTACCGAAAGAACCAAAGAAGAAAAACGCGTCACGTTTCGTCAGGTGCCAGTCTATTTAGCGACTTAAAAAACAATGAAATAATCTTTGAATCAATTATAAAGCTCTACAGGCAGCCAGTGTGTCATCATCATCATCGTCATCGCCACGTGGGAATTCGTAGCAGCAGCCGAACACCCTCTCTAAGCCACATCCGAGGCGGCGAATTTCGAAGACAAAAGCCACCGACCGGACGTGACGTCACAATGTGGGAGCAACTCATGTCAGAGCAAAAGACTCATCACACAGATACCCATAGACTCAATAAACAGAGATGCAGACTGACCGCACGGAGCCTCATAAACTCAACAAACAGAGATCCATAGACTCATCACAGAGCAATAGACTCATCACACAAATACACATAGACTCAACAAACAGAGATCCATAGACTCATGTCAGAGCAATAGACTCATCACACAGATACACATAAACTCAACAAACAGAGATCCATAGACTCATCACAGAGCAATAGACTCATCACACAGATACCCATAAACTCAACAGAGATCCATAGACTCATCACACAGATACCCATAGACTCACTACACAGAGACCCAGGCAGGCAGACAGGCAGACAGGCAGGCAGGCAGGCAGGCAGACAGACAGACAGGCAAACAGACAGGCAGACAGGCAGGCAGACAGGCAGACAGACAGACAGACAGGCAGACAGGCAGGCAGACAGGCAGACAGACAGACAGGCAGGCAGGCAGGCAGACAGACAGGCACACACACACACACAGACAGACAGACAGGCAGGCAGACAGACAGACAGACAGGCAGACAGACAGGCAAACAGACAGGTAGACAGGCAAACAGACAGACAGACAGGTAGACAGACAGACAGACAGGTAGGCAGACAGACAGGCAGGTAGACAGACAGACAGAGATGTGCGTTCCCCGCATCTCTCTCCTGTCTCCCCGCCTCTCTCTATTTATTCTCGTTGTGTTTTTGTAGCGACTCCTCTCGATGTTCCCGTGGGAGATAGAGGGAGAGGTGGGGTGGGTCGGGCAGGTGGTGGAGGGGGTAGTGGAGGGGGTTGGAGGGGTGTAGGTGGTGGAGGTGGTGAAGGTGGTGAAGATGGTGAAGAAAGTAGAGGGGGTGGAGGTGGTGGAGGCGGTGGAGGCGGTGGAGGCGGTGGAGGTGGTGGAAGTGGTGGAAGTGGTGGAGGTGGTGGAGGTGGTGGAGGTAGAGGAGGTGGTGGAAGTGGTGGTGGTGGTGGTGGTGGAGGTGGTGGAGGTGGTGGAGGTAGTGGAGGTGGTGGAGGTAGTGGAGGTGGTGGAAGTGGTGGAAGTGGTGGAGGTGGTGGAGGTGGTGGAGGTAGAGGAGGTGGTGGAAGTGGTGGTGGTGGTGGTGGTGGAGGTGGTGGAGGTGGTGGAGGTAGTGGAGGTGGTGGAGGTAGTGGAGGTGGTGGAGGTAGAGGAGGTGGTGGAAGTGGTGGTGGTGGTGGTGGAGGTAGTGGAGGTGGTGGAGGTGGCGGAGGTGGTGAAGATGGTGGAGGTGGTGGAGGCGGTGGAGGTGGTGGAGGTGGTGGAGGCGGTGGAGGCGGTGGAGGCGGCAGAGGTGGCGGAGGTGGTAGAGGAGGAGGTGGTGGAGATGGTGTAGGGGGTGAAAGTGGTGAAGATGTTGGAGGTGGCGGAGTTGATGGAAGTGGTGGAGGTGGTGTAGGCGGTGGAGGTGGTGGAAGTGGTGGAGGTAGTGGAGGCGGTAGAGGTGGTGGAGGTAGCGGAGGTGGTGGAGGGGGTTGGAGGGGTGGAGGTGGTGGAGGTGGTGGAGGTGGTGAAGATGGTGGAGGTGGTTGGAGGGGTGGAGGTGGTGGAGGTGTGGAGGTGGCGGTGGAGGTGGTGGAGGTGGTGGAGGTGGCGGTGGCGGTGGTGGAGGTGGCGGTGGTGGAGGTGGTGGTGTAGGTGGTGGAGGTGGTGAAGATGGTGGAGGTGGTGGAGGTGGCGGTGGAGGTGGTGGAGGTGGCGGTGTAGGTGGTGGAGGTGGTGAAGTTAGTGGAGTTAGTGGAGGTGACGGTGGGGGGGGGGGGGGGGCGTGGTAGGAGGAGCTGGAGCGGGTGGAGGGAGCTTTGAGTCACCGCAACCAAGAAGCCTCAGAGCGTCACACCCCACGGGAACGTCTTAAAATACTCCACCTGCTCCGCTGCGCCGCGCCCGTCTCATTATGGGCTGGGCTCGGCGCGTCGCCGCCTCTCCTTGGTGACACAGCGGGGGTCTGGAGAGGGTCGAGCGCCCGTGCCTCTCCCCCGTGATGACCCAACGCTGCAGTCGACAGCGTTGATCGTTTGTGGGGGGCACCCGACACTCCCCCCCCCCCCCCCCCACACACACACACACAAAAAAACAAAAAAAAATTCAGCTTTTCTGTTTAACTAAACCAAAGAATATTCTTCGTTCTTTCGGTAAAGTCGCGTAGAAGGGAAACAATAAAATAATAAAATAAAATGAATATACAAAAGCAATAAAATTATCACGACGTTTCGACTGCAACACAAGCAATCGTCATCAGGTGTGAAAACCACAGCGAGAAAATTTTCAAATTTTGAAAATTTTCAAGTTTTGAAAATTTTCAAATTTTCTTGCTGTGGTTTTCACACCTGATGACGATTGCTCGTGTTGCAGTCGAAACGTCGTGATAATTTTATTGATTTTTTTTATTATTTTATTGTTTGCCCTCTACGTGGTGACTTTACCGAAAGCACCAAGAATATGAATCCCTGCAGTCACGAAAGCTTTAAATAAAATTTTAAAAAACTAAAGTAAATTTTTGTTTTTGGGGGGGATGGGGGGGGTGGGTCTTTCGATAAAGTCACGTAGAGAGGTTTTGAGAGAGAATAAGGAAACAAATAAGAACAAAGCAACGACGTTTCGATGGCGACGCAAGCGTTCGTCATCGGGCAAAGGGGGCGATGACGAACGCTTGCCTCGCCATCGAAACGTCGTCGCTTTTTAGTTATTTGTTTTGTTAAAAAACAAAAAAAATAGTTATTTTCTTTGAGTCGATCTAAGCGACTTTACCGACGGAGCCAAGAGAATATGAGTTGCTGCGGTCGCGAATGCTTCGAGTCAAGATTTAAACTTGAGTAAACATTTTAAAACGTATTCTTAGTTTTTTCGGTAAAGTCACGTTGAAGGGAAACAACAAAATAATAAAATATATAAAACAATAAAAAAATTCTCATGACGTTTCGACCATAACACAAACGGTCGTCTTCAGGTGTGCTGGTTTGCATAAATTTATTTTTAAACGGCGCATTTATTTATTTATAAAAAAACGTTAGCGCCACGCGCAACGATTTGGCAGTTTATTCAGGACTAGTCCATCTATATTCTGAATATAGTCCATCTATTTAGATGGACTATATTCATCTATATTCTGAATATAGGTGGACTATAGATGGACTAGTCCTAAATAAATAGCCAAATGGCTTTCACACAGCATACATTATAAAAAAAATTCGTCTCCCCCCTCCTCTTTTCAAATTTTCTTGCTGTGGTTTTCACACCTGATGACGATTGCTCGTGTTGCAGTCGAAACGTCGTGATAATTTTATTGATTTTTTTTATTATTTTATTGTTTGCCCTCTACGTGGTGACTTTACCGAAAGCACCAAGAATATGAATCCCTGCAGTCACGAAAGCTTTAAATAAAATTTTAAAAAACTAAAGTAAATTTTTGTTTTTGGGGGGGATGGGGGGGGTGGGTCTTTCGATAAAGTCACGTAGAGAGGTTTTGAGAGAGAATAAGGAAACAAATAAGAACAAAGCAACGACGTTTCGATGGCGACGCAAGCGTTCGTCATCGGGCAAAGGGGGCGATGACGAACGCTTGCCTCGCCATCGAAACGTCGTCGCTTTTTAGTTATTTGTTTTGTTAAAAAACAAAAAAAATAGTTATTTTCTTTGAGTCGATCTAAGCGACTTTACCGACGGAGCCAAGAGAATATGAGTTGCTGCGGTCGCGAATGCTTCGAGTCAAGATTTAAACTTGAGTAAACATTTTAAAACGTATTCTTAGTTTTTTCGGTAAAGTCACGTTGAAGGGAAACAACAAAATAATAAAATATATAAAACAATAAAAAAATTCTCATGACGTTTCGACCATAACACAAACGGTCGTCTTCAGGTGTGCTGGTTTGCATAAATTTATTTTTAAACGGCGCATTTATTTATTTATAAAAAAAACGTTAGCGCCACGCGCAACGATTTGGCAGTTTATTCAGGACTAGTCCATCTATATTCTGAATATAGTCCATCTATTTAGATGGACTATATTCATCTATATTCTGAATATAGGTGGACTATAGATGGACTAGTCCTAAATAAATAGCCAAATGGCTTTCACACAGCATACATTATAAAAAAAATTCGTCTCCCCCCTCCTCTTTTCAAAATATAGATGGACTAGTCCTGGGCAAACTGCCAAATCGTTGCGCGTGGCGCTAACGTTTTTTATAAATAAATAAATGCGCCGTTTAAAAATACATTTATGCAAACCAACACACCTGAAGACGACCGTTTGAGTTATGGTCGAAACGTCGTGAGAATTTTTTATTGTTTTATATATATTTTATTATTTTGTTGTTTCCCTTCAACGTGACTTTACCGAAAAAACTAAGAATATGAATTACTGCAGTCACGAAAGCTTTAAATCAAAATTTTAAAACGTGTTTCTTTTTATTTATTTTAGGGCAACGTTTCGGCTAATGTCCTCGTCTTCAAAATGTCGCCCTCTGGTCGCGCCTGTAAACGAACTTAAATATTTTTCTCATTATTGTTGTTGTTGTTTGAGTTGTACGCCTTTTGGCGTCTTCTGGTCCAACACCAGTGGAGACTTAAGGGCTCTAAGAAAAGCCGTCTCGGGTGTGGACCAATCAAATTCAAGGATAGTGCCAATATCATTATCAGAGTTGTCTCTTTTTGTTTGCATTTTGACTGCTTGTGTTGTGGTTATTGCAAACATGATGCCTTGAATGAAGGTGTCAGTTTTTGTGCCAGCTAAAAGGGTAAAACCTATTGCTATATCTTGTTACTGGCAAAGGAGGTCTCATAATGTAAATGCTCACCCCGAGCCCTCAATAACTCTGATAGTGCGCTGATTTTGAGTTGTACGCCTTTTGGCGTCTTCTGGTCCAACACCAGTGGAGACTAGGCTCTAAGAAAAGCCGTCTCGGGTGTGGACCAATCAAATTCAAGGACAGTGCCAATATCATTATCAGAGTTGTCTATTTTGTTTGCATTTTGACTGCTTGTGTTGGGGTTATTGCAAACATGATGCCTTGAATAAAGGTGTCAGTTTTTGTGCCAGTTAAAAGGGTAAAACCTATTACTATATATTCTTAGTTCTTTCGGTAAAGTCACGTTAAAGGGAAACAATAAAATAATAATATATATAACAATAAAAATTCTCACGACGTTTCGACCATAACACAAACGGTCGTCATCAGGTGTGTCGGTTTGCATAAATGTATTTATGGCAAGCTACCTTTTTTGGATGTCCTAATTAAAAAGAGACCTGATGGTTCAATGAGCCACTCTGTCTACAGGAAAGCTACCCATACGGATGCTTATCTGAAACCGGATTCCCACCACCATCCATCACGAAAGAATTCTCTCATCAAGACTTTGTATCATAGAGCCCAATGCATATCCGATCAGGAACACATAGGCAGTGAACTCAAGCACGTGCACCAAGCTCTTAAGGCTAATGGTTACTCCGACTATACAATCCGCAAAGCTATCACTCAAACCATGAAGAAGGACCCTCTTGAGGAGCCTTTCAAAACCATCACTTTACCCTACATTGCGGGGATCACAAAAAAGATCTCCAAAATCTTGAATAAACACAAGATCCAGGTCCGTTTCAACACATTACATAAAATCCGTGATCTGGTTCCGTCTGTAAAAGATGTGATTCCGGACATACACTACCCTGGTGTCTACAAACTAAGTTGCCTCTGTGGTAGTAGTTACATTGGAGAAACCAAACGCCATGTCTCGGACCGCATTCGTGAACACAAAGCAGACCTTAAACACGGTAGGACCAACACCTCGGCCGTGGCAGATCATTGTTATAATTCAGTAGGCTCACATGACATTGACTTTTCCAAGACAGAGGTTCTTTGTAAGCCATCTGGCTACCATGAGAGATTCGTTCATGAGGCTATCCACATATACAAGCACAGAGACAATTTCAACCGAGAAGATGGATTCTGTCTTAGCAATCATTGGAAAGATTTGATAAACCATTTCAGGTCTTAATTGATTGTTCACGCTTACAGTGGCTTTCAGACAGCATACATTAAATGTTTCGTCTCCCCCCTCCTCTTTTCAGAACATAGATGGACTAGTCCTTCTAAATAAACTGCCAAATCGCTGTGCGTGGCGCTAACGTTTTTATAAATAAATAAATCCACCGTTTAAAAATAAATACATTTATGCAAACCGACACAGCTGATGACAGACCGTTTGTGTTATGGTCTAAACGTCGTGAGAATTTTTATTGTTTTATATATATTATTATTTTATTGTTTTTCTTCAACGTGACTTTACCAAAAGATCTAAGAATATGAATTACTGCAGTCACGAAAGCTTTAAATCAAAACCTATTACTATATTTTGTTGTTGTTGTTTATTTACTGGGTTAAGGGCTCGCCGCTGAGACGCTACGCAGAGGCTCCAGTTTCAGAAGCGACACCACCCCCCCTGGCTATTACAAAATGATAGCAACCCAACGAAGTGGCGGCTTATCGTCATCATCATCATCGTCGTCATAATCGTCGTCATCATCGTCATCATCGTCGTCGTCATCATCGTCGTCGTTGTCATCATCGTCGTCATCATCATCATCGTCGTCATCGTCGTCATCGTCATAATCGTCGTCGTCATCATCGTC